GTTTCTCTCAAAGCTTTATTTTATTTTATTTTATCTTGGACTATTACTCCTCCTCCTCTTACTAGCGCTGTGGACATTAGGGTCGTGAGGCATCTGTTATAATAACATTGTGTGCTGTTCGGTTGATGTTGCTTTGATGGCCCTACGTGGAGTTAGAGCCCATGGTTCCCCATGTTTTCTTGCTCTCTTTGACCCTGGTCCCCTCCCTGGGGTTGCTGTTCCAGCTCCATGTTTTTTCTCTCAAAAAACAGACACTTCTTTCTACCAGCAAAATTCCCCTAGTTCTAGCTCATAGGCCTGAGCAAGATTAATATTTTCAGTTTACCAGTAATGGGTGAGGAACCAGGGATTAAACCCCACAGGAAAACCCTTTGTGACCCAGAAAAAGTCCAGTTCTTGCTTCTACTCTTATCGTCTGGTTAAGAGCCTGGAAGAAGAGAAAGAATCCACCTGTGGGAAGCTGCCCCAATGGGTCAGAAAGTCTGATAAGAAAAGATTATGCACTCATGTGGGTTTTAGTAAAAGACATTGAATGTTGATAAGCTTATCATAGCTTTTGTTTTCTGCTCACGTATGAAATTTCAAACATGTGTGTATTTTAGGAAATACAATGGCTCCTGAAAGTAAGAGAGTACTTACTCGTCTTGCCCATTTGGGTCTTATATCCATCTTGCCACCTACCCCTTTTTTCTCCTTTTTTTCGGACTGACTGACCAGGATCTCGTTGTAGGTTTCTTGGTACCCCCAGCATCATTGATCATTAAGATAAACAGTGGCAAATTCCCCAAAGCTCTAGGGTAATACTTAATATCCAGAGTATGTTTTTGGACCAGTGTATCCCCATCACCTGGGAGCTTGCTAGAAATGCAGAATCTCAGGTCCCACCTGAGACCAGCTGAATCACAATCTACATTGTAAGTAGATCTCTGGGTGAATCACATACATAGTAAAGTGCTCCAAGGAGTCCTCTGGAAGGAGCTTCCAGGGACCTCTGAAGTCATAAGACACTTGCTAAAAGCACCCTAGCTAATTGTGCCCTCCAAAGCAGAGACGTCCTCTCCCTTTCTTCCATAGACACACTCTAGCTCCCTGTGCTGAGCGAGGGCCACCTTTGGAGTCAGCAGATGCGAAATGCCAACTAAATGTGTCCTCAGCTAGTTTACCCCACTTTCTCAAAGACCTGGAGTGAGTCCTGAAGATCACTGATATTCTCCTGGGTCTAAAGAACTTTCATTCTCAAGCATTGGCATTTCTACCTTTCAAGTACAACCCTGTTTGGGTGGATGGGCCCCAGAAGTTTTTATGTGATCATAAGTTGCCCAAAGGCACCTTCATGCACAGCAAACCCCTGGAAATGTCAACACCATTGTTCAGGGTTAGCATAAAGATTTTCCAGTCAAGTGAAAAAATTTTACTGAACAGAATTAATGATTATGACTATTAAAGTAATTTAAGTATATCAGATAGGATTTCTTGGCCTGTATCCTTTTCTTTATAAGAATGTATACATGCAGTAAAAGCAAGAACCCCAGAATCCTTACCAGTCTGTTTGTATTCCTGTGTTTGGCATATCTTCTTGACTCTTAAAAATTTGGATCCAAGAGCGCCTGGGTGGCTCAGTCAGTTAAGCATCTGACTCTTGATCTCAGCTCAGGTCTTGATCTCAGGGTTGTGAGTTCAAGCCCCACGTTGGGTTCCACGCTGGGTGTGGAGCCTACTTTAAAAAAAAAAAAAAATGGATCCAGAAGTTAAATGTCAACTTAACCTGCCATAGATGGGACTAAAGACAGAGGTGGGAATGCTGGGTTATTACTTGTCTGTATAGTATTCTTTGCAATCCCAGGCAAATTATAGTTCTAGTGCTTTTTCTGTTCTCCTCTGTGCTTTTCTCAATTGTACATACTTTAAATGTAGACATTAACGTTGCGCATTGAATTTTTTAAAGGGTGTGTTACTCAGTAGAAGACATTGAAGCCTCCAGCTGTAGGAACAGCCCTGGCAGCTGGAAAGGAATCTCCCGGGTACCTGGTGGGTGAGGTTGTAGTCTGTGATCTGATGGCCTGGGTTTGAATTCTGGCTCTGACGCTAAGGGACTCTATGCAACTTACGCAGCCTCGCTAGGTCTTATCTGTAATAGGGGGATAATACCTACCCCATAGGGCTGTCATGAAGACTAACGGAATTAGTATATGTAAGGCTGCCTAACTCTGTGCCTAGCAGACAGTAACATAACCAATATTAACTATCATTATTAAATCTGAAGTATGACCAGGTTGATCAGTTGAATGGCACGCTGGCTGTAAGTCTGAGAATCAAGTGAGGAGGCTAATAGAGTTGAGTTTCTTACTCCTCTTCCTGCTTGTTGTATACTGATTAACAGTGAGCTTGTTCAAAAGCAGCACAGCCGAAGGGAGAGGGAGAGGCAGGGGCTGGAGGCCGTCTCCCCTTGAACAACTGAACTGCTGTGCTTTAAAACGAGAAGCCAAGATAATAGGACCTAACTCACGAATTCACCTAAGGCTCTACAGCTTGCAGCCCATGGCCACATTCACTTTCTCATTTCCTCTCCGTAGTTTCTCTGGACATAGAGCAGGTGTCATGGTTCCCACTTTACAGAGAGGGATGGTGAGGCTCAGCAAAGGGAGTGGCTTGGCAGAGGTCCCCAACTAGAGCCCTGGCTTCTGGATGCCGGGTCCAGTGCCTTTTCCACACAGCCTCTCAGTGAGTCTGCAGACCCTGCACTATGATGCCTTGGAAGTGGGGAAGGCCAGAGAGAACTGCTTCTGTTCTTTCGTCCTCCTGGAAGGGTCAGGAGTGGGCAGTTCTGGAAATCGCATCCCAGGGAAGGGCCTTACACGTGCTGATGCTCTAGACCTGAAACTATGTGCTTTGGGTTCACAGCAAAGGGAAGGTGGGGAGCTAGGCAGAAGAGAAGTGGTAATGGTTTCATACTTGGCTGACTGGGATCTCTTCTACAGAGCACCCTAAGCCAAGGAGAGGAAGGGTGTTGAGGGGTACCTATGGTTGGGGCCCGTGTGAATTACTCAAGTGTATCATGAAAAAGAATAACCAGTGGTATGTGTCTTTAGGACAGGACGGCAGTTGTGTAGATGTGTGCCTCGACTGTCCTCTCTTTACCCATGGCTGCATGGCGAATTGACCACTGAGCCTTGGAATCCTCAACCCAGGGCTCCAGACAGCCGCTACCCCTCAGATCTGTTAAGTGAGAGGGAACCCATTGGCCATTCCTCTTTTAAGGGGTATCCCTTCAGTGCAGTGAGGAGTCACATTTATTGTTGAATTAATGCGTCCTCTGTTGGCATCTAGGTGATTCTGGTGTTCTCGGTAGGGGCAACAATATTTCTTGTTTTATCAGCAATTTGAATATCATCACTCATTCGACACTTTCACCTTGCTGTGTCACCAAGCAGCTCTTCAGATAAAAAATGGAACATCAAAATACTCGCCATCTGTGTTCGTTGTAGCCATCTTTTCTCTCTCTTCAGAGACGAATGTTATCTTGTGCTCATTCCACCGAGATGTGAGAGGGTGACAGCAGGAGGAGAAAGGGGCTTCTCGCTTCCCCCAAGCACACACGAGATTGCTCCACACTGTCCAGGCTAGCGGAGATGCGCTCCTCCCTCCCCACCCCTCCGAGTCAACAGTGGCCCTTTGAGACAGCTGCGGTCCTCTGGGCTCGAAGGGGAAAGCGTGTGTCTACAGCTGGTCATGCCTGGCTTGCCAGGCCCCATGTAGAATATGACCAAGGGCCTGGCAGATGATCTTGTCCGGAGTGTGTTCATAGGGCTCTGGGAGACCCGCAGGAGTTGGGGTTGGAGAACTTCAAGGGAAAAGCATTATTTCGATTGGGACCTAGGGTTTCCTCATGTCAGCATTTGGGCAGGGGATGGGAAGAAGGGGAGGGGTCGCAGGGCACTGGGGAGGCAATGCAAAGCAAACAGAATGGTCCATCTTACTGTAGGGGCTTCAGGCAGTTAGCTTGGGTCCCAGGGCCATTCAGTGAAGTTGCCTGAAAGTGACCAGTCGAGGGGGCCACCATGTGAGAATGTCAGGGCCACGCGCAGACTAAATCGGATGGAGGAGCTGGCTTTTCATTCATATTGATCGGGCCCAGCAAACGGCACTTCGTTTCCAAGCAAAGACCAATCAGTGCTTTAAGAAAATGTTTCCTGGGTATTTGTTGTGAATTTCCCCGATGATAATTAAAGAGCCTTTGGAAAATTTTACAAAAAGATAAAAAGGAAAAAATTTACCCATAACCACGCTGCCTGAATCAATACTCTTAAAATTTGGATGTATCTCATTCGAAGTCTTTTTTGCTATGGAGTTGTGTATAAATTTTAAGAAAATCTGTATCGTAATGAAAATGCAGTTTTTACCATGCTCTTTTTACACTTATGAGCATGTTTTTATATCAAATTACTCAAAATTCTATTTTAAATAGGTATATAAGATCCCATTTTACAGATGCACTGTAATTTAACCAAAAAATTAAACATTTCAGTGGTTTTCACATTTTTACATATGTGTTATAAATACTAGCAGCACATGTTTTTTGGGAAGAAAATATAGAGGGGGATAGATTTTTGACATCTTGATGGAACAGTCAGTACTGTTCATTGTACTACGGCTGACATCCCGTGTGTGTGTGTGTGTGTGTGTGTGTGTGTGTGCGCGTACATATTATATTATTCTACGTTGGTGGTCTGTGGTGCCATGTTTTGATACTTAAAAGTAGAGAGTCTCCAGGCTCCCCAATAAAACCTGGCCCTTTGGGCACCAATCCATTGAAGGATTGACATTTCCCATCTAATATGTTCATAAAAATAGTTGTAGGGATGGTTGACTCCCGTGGGAAATCCACAGCTGCTGTGCTAAGTCCTGTTAAATGCTGTTGAATTTAGATCCGATGTCTTTGGTTATCTTGCTGCCCACGGGCCATTTGGCACTCATGGCTGGTTCTCTTCTCTCTCCTCTAGTTACTGGGGCTTCCGGATGCAGACGATGATGCGTTTGAAGAGTACAGTGCAGATGTGGAAGAGGAGGAGCCCGAAGCAGACCACCACCAAATGGGGGTCAGTCAGCAGTAACCTTCTGAGGACTCCCACCTGAGAAGGAGAGTGAACCCCCTGGTACCTGAGGTGGGGTTGCGTGTTCCTGGGTTAGCATTTTTGCATTAGCACTTCGAAACAGGACGTCTGACTCCCAGCATCCAAATTAAAACTAGGTACCTTTTTATTGACCGCAAAATATCTGGGATGAGCTTTGCTCAGAAGTGACCTGAATTTTACTCCCGTTTCAGTGGGTTTCTATGGGGTTGTCTCGGTAGCCTTTGCCATTTTGAATTTAGAGTCCATTTTGTGGCTGACTGTTCTCTCTTGAGTTTGTGTTGGAGAACTAACATTACCTGACTCGAATGTAGAGAACTCTGAATGTATTAAGGATATGTTTTGAGTCCTCAAAGGTGACATTATTGAGGGAAAGCATGACAGAGAAGAAATGCAGTCTGCACTTTTTATGTACTTTTTAAATGTCCATGAGTGAAGGAATTTGCTTATAAAGCATGAGTTTTAATATCTAGTCATTAAACGGCACAAGTGCAAATACAAGGGCAGAAAAGGATAATCACTTAGCTTTGGATGAAGAGGGGAAGAGAGGCAGAGAAGCCTTTGTTGAAGTGTTCTGCCATTACTAAGTTACCTGGATAGATAGCAGCTGGTTCATGGTTAGTATAAACATTACTTTGCATGTTCAGTTGTTTTAAAACATGCTAATTCCAAAGCCTCTTTTGAAATCTAATAGTGGAAAATATCAATGGGGTGATGAATGATTGATTTCTTTAAAATCTCTATAAACTGTCCCACATATGAAATGAAACATTTACATTCTCTCTTTATAACCGGATGGCAACTTGTTAAATCATGAAAACATTCAGAATCCAAGTGCCACTTAAACTTTGAAGCCATAGATAAATTTAATGGGGGAAATAAACCAGGATAAAATTTTTTCAAACATATGATGGAATTCTTTAATTTCTTAATTTGTCTTTTATTCCTTAAAAAAAAAAAAGGTCAAGAAAAGGATCCCACTGTATAATTTATTTAAAAAACTGTAATCAAGTCCTTGGAGGGACCTAACTGTAGTGAATTTTTAAAGCGATATGAAAGTGGGAATCTTGCGGTCGTGGGTTAGCTTGGTTCAAATGGGAAGTTTCAATGATCAAAATACTAAGACAACTCACAGAAACAGCTACTTAATAATTGGAAACACTGTTGTCATTACTTAGCCAACAAATACTTACAAGGGAAGTCCTTTGTAATGCTAACGTGGAATTATTTAAAGTATTCATTTTCTTGGACCCTTCTGGATCTCTCAGAGCGGAATGCCTCTTTCACAACCCTTGACTAAACATAGCATCTGGGGCGGGAATGTTTTTAACATGCATACACATGCCTGTTAGGTTGTCATAGTTTGGGACTTTAAAAAAAAACAACAAAAAAACAGCAGCAGCGGGCACAGAGTTTCTGGGAGTCTTGTGTATCTTCCAGGCATGTCAGTATTAACCTGGTGATCTCTCCATTTTCTGCTTGATTGATTGGTGCCATGGAGAGTGTGGCTACTTGTGGTAGAACAGGGTACTGGCGTTTTAAGTCATGGTGGGGAACGTACAGTGGTTTCCATCCATGCTTCAATACCCACATTTTTTCTTTTCTTGGCAAAGCGTATTGAAGGTTAATTTCAAGTGAAATGAATTTCCTTCCGAGTAGCCTATTCCCACCGCAAACCTTGATGTTTCATCCAGCGGGGTGAGCATATTCTGTGCTTTGCTCCCTTGCCTGTGTCCCCATTGGCTCCGTACCTGAGCGCAGGTAGTTGTGAGCTGCATTCTGTAGATAGCACTCGGGTTTGGTAACCTCTGTTTTAACACAATAGGCTGAAAGAATGACTTCTGCCACTGGGATGAAGAAGCTTGACTAGCTTGCTCCATTTGAAGGTAAACTGGAATTTTATACATAGAGGCTTAAAAGCTCAATTTACATATGTTTGCAAATGGAACGGACATTAATATAAAATGTATTTTATGAAAAAGCGTTTAGGCTTTGACCAAATGCATTTTGGTATTATTATGTTAATGTTCTATTTATAAAGATTGAACTGAGATCAACTCAGCCATTCAGTGGGCTGAGGAGAAATCTCGTCTTTTTTCTGCCCCAGGGGTTGAGGATAACAGTACCGTGTGTTGCTTACTTTCATGGCAAAACCCCAGAAGGCATTAGCAAATCGCACCGTTTCCTCCAAAACTTCCTTGTTTTCTGACGGTGCACCGCCCCGGCTGCCCTTGCTGCGGCACATGCCCGTGCCCGCGCTCCCTCGCACCGGCCGTGGGTTCGCTGTTCGGCTTGTGTGCGGCCTTAAAGCTCGCCTGGCGCAGAGCTTCCCCCCTCCCATGGGCAGTGAGGCGGGCAGCCGGCAGCCGGCGTTGTTTGGGAAGAGGTTCCGTGGTTTGACAAATTCCTGACTTTCACAAACAGATAAACACTTACAAAGAGGCAGTGTGGTGCGGTAGGAAGAGCATGGCCCCGGGAGTTGGGAGAGAGACTTGGGTTCCAGCCCTGGCTCTACCAGGGACTGCGTGACCTTGGGCAAGTCCCCCAGCTCCCCTGAAACAAGGGCTGTTTGCCCTTCCTGCTTTCACCACTGTCGTTCCATACCTGCCTTATGGTGTGTGTGTACTAAGAGCAACAGTCAAGGAAACTTTTAGGGAAAGGAGAAGGAAATACGTTTTGAATCTTGCCGGGAGGCAGTCCTGAGCGTGCTGGCCACAGGACTACCTTAGAATATGTTTCTGCTGGTCTGTGAGTGTCCGGACCCCCTCGAGCCTGATCCTGAGGGGCTGATGACTTCCGGTTCCTTAGGCGGAGGACAATGTCAGGCCTCAGAGATGCAGAGGCAGACTTGTCGCAGAGGTGCAGGCTCTGTCTGCTGAAGGCGTGGCTTTCCCTTGTGCCCCGACAGACTGCGGCTTTGGAAGTGGAGTGAGTTTGCATGAAGAAGAGCTGGGAGAGAGTGAAAGAGGAGTACTTTGACTTTCTGTCATGTCATCCAGGAGAGAGAACGAGGAGTGAAAGAGAGAGACTGTGTGTGTGCGCGTGAGCGTGTGAGTGTGTGTGAACGTTGGGGGGAGGGGGATGACTGATGGCCTGTTGATCCCTGTGGGCCAGCCGTGAAGTCCTGCCTGTGATAACCTTACCAAACCTTGATCCTGGGTTTGAGTGAATCACAGAGACATTTTTCTTATGGCCGCCTAGTCACTGGCTCTGCCTGAGAGTCATACTGAGCACACTTTGGGGAACCGGAGGATGAGTTAGGGAGCGAGGTGGGACCCCACACGACACCCGCCACCACTCCGGCTCTGTTACACTCACGTCTCCCAGGCTCGTAGCAGTACGTAGGACTTTGGGTTTTTTTCTTTTTTTTATATGACTAGAACATGAGAAGTCTCATATTTAGAAATTTTCCCTGTGTCCTGGTGCCAGAATTAGGTTTCCGGGGTCCTTAAGTGAAAAATTTCTCTCCTCTCATGGCTACTGTCATTTTTCACATACAAATGGAAACTTTTCCTCCAGCACAGCGACATCTCTAAAGATTGTGTCTGTCTCATAAGAGCACAAAGTGTGTGGACCTCGGGGAGCTATGCTTCCAGAGCATCGCTGGAATTTATATTTTAGAAATCTACCTTGCATATTAAAATTCACAAGTTGGGAAACTGATATGAACAAATCTGATTTCCCACGGTTCAAGAGGCAGGAATAGGAATAGGCAGGACTTACTCTGGGGTGGGAGGAGATGAGAAAGGGAGAATGGGAGAGTTAGGGTCTAATTCTTTTAAAAAAGAGAGGGAAAAAAAGAAGCCGGAAGACAGGTATTATGTACGCGACAGGAGAACTGTTTTCACGGCTGTTCCGCTAGGAGCTGGCTTTCCTCAAAGGGGCTGCCTGCACGTTGAGAGGCAAGGCCCGTGTTGGGGATGGATTTGTGGCTCTACAGATGCCCCACAGCCAAGGACACAGCAGGTGTCCCGCAAATCTGGTGTGGTTTCCCTCAGTAAACCCGCTGTCGGCCAGAGAAGCCCGTCTTTCCCAAGTGCGACCACATCTGCGGGCTCCAATCACCTGGCAGGTGGCAGGTGAACCAGACTTGATCTTGCTTTCAGTGTGGTTGAGGCCATGGGTCAGGAATGCCCTCGGGGGCTGGGCGGCAGAGCCCGCCTACTCCACTTGCTTCAGGGCTGTAGAAAGAGCACAGTTAAAACTCAAGTGGATCACAGATCCCTCTTCCCTATAGCGACTGTCAACCCCAAAGAGGGGCTCTGCCTGCTAGTCTTCAGATTACCAGAGAAGCCTAACATTTTTATTTTTTATTTTTTTTTTGAATGAAACATGAATCCTCTTCCACAAAGAGCCAATTAGTTATCTTGGTTTTGTGACACCAGGTATGACCTGAAAGGCTGCAGTCTTTTAGATGTTATTTAGAACATCTACAACTTGCCGGGATGCCCGTAGCCTCTGGTGTCCATGGCAACGTGGGGTCCGTGGTAAATATCTATAGCTCCCGTCCCCCTGGGTAAATCGTTAAATAAGATGGTGTCGTTGATATTTTTATTTAAATTTGTATTACAAAAATAGAGGACCCATGAGCATCACATGTTAGAAGCCTCATTTACGGCATTGTGTGGCTGAATAGACCCAAGCCGTTGAAGGCAAGCGCCAAGCCTCATCAAAATAAACACTTCATTTACTAAGAACTGTATTCAAGTGATTCAGGCCCACCGAGAAAGCAGATAGTCTGTTCTTTGCACAACTGCCTTTCCCTGGTTCTTTCTTTTGTTTTTGTTTCTTAAGAGTCATTTTTTACATTTTTTACTCTGAGTACCTTCTGATAGCCAGGCAGATAAAGACGCAGCAGTCCTGCGTACACACGTCACCTTTCTAGAGGAGAAAGCAAATTGTCAGTTCTTGGGAAAATTGGAAACGATCTGTGAGCCAGCCTTCGTTTGTGTATGAGAGCAGAGTTGAGCCATCCATGTGAGAAGCAGAATCAAGGAACAGTTTTGGGGTTCTTTTTCCTTAGGCAAAAATGTTTCATGCAGGGTGTGGATGTTTTCTTTGCCTTTATATTTCCTTTCCAAGAAATCTCTTGTAAATGACAAAACTGTGAAATGGGTTGCCAAAAAAATTGTTGCCCTTTGTTTTAGATGCCTCAAACAGTGTAAATCCTAAACTGAATCCTGTCCACATCTGCTCCATCCTCCCTCCCCAGAGAGTGAGGATCTCATCCACCAATGTAATTACCATACGCTTGCTATTAAAGAGCCTTCCAAACTCTGGTGATGTTTGCCTCTTTTTTACTCCGTCCACAGTGTTTGGTCCAGAGGGTGTCTCATGGGATACAAACGAGGGACAGAGAATGCGGACCGCCAGCTAGTTCTGCGGTTGTCTGTGTTGGGGTTGGGGGTGGGGGCGGCCAGGGGGGGAGAGAGGGAGGAGGTCGTTTCGGGAACCACTGACATGGTTCAAATGTTAGTAATTGAAGACATTCACATATCTGTTCTGATGTGGCTGCTAGTGAGTGATTTCCCAGCCTTCCTTCAAACCAGTACTTGAGGTGTGTATATGAGGAGCCTATTTTTTCTCCCATAGGGAGGTGCCATGTGCATTCTGTGGCACCAGTTAGAAAGCTGTGGTCACTCTGTGGCAGTGTGACACAGTTTCCCCATAACTGTCCTCCCAGTGATTGTTATTCAGTAAACAGTGGCATCTAAAGAATAAATCAGGAGTTGGTGGTAAGTCCCATTATTTGATTAAGAACAAGTTTCTTTCCCCAAATGAATAGGTCTCCGCAGATTGTTAGATGAGATTTGAGATTGCCTTAGCAGACGCAGCATAGAGGTTTGTGTGTGTGTTACCTACCGTCATTGGTGGTTCTCGGTTTGGGACGTGGCTCTCGTCAGAGATTGGACCCGAGTGGTGGGCTGTGTGCAAGCCTTCCGAGCCTCACTCATCAAAGATTCTGGCTTCAGCAGGGTGGTGGCATGATCTTCCCCAGACAAAGCCTTTCTTCTGGGGGAATTTCTTTGTTACTGTTATTTGATCACTTGCACAGATAACCTTTATAAAATATAGCTTGACTCCTTTATCTAAGTGCAGGGCTGGTGTTAGAAAGACCCACATTTTCCCCCTTTGCAGTGAATCACTCTGAAATCGGTTGGCTGGGGAAAATGGTTCTAGCCCTTGGGGCGCCTGGGTGGCTCAGTCGTTAAGCGCCTGCCTTCGGCTTGGGTCATGATCCCAGGGTCCTGGGATCGAGCCCCGTTTCGGGCTCCCTGCTCAGCGGGGAGTCTGCTTCTCCCTCTCCCACTCCCCCTGCTTGTGTTCTCTCTCTTGCTGTGTCTGTCTGTCAAATAAATAAAATCTTTAAAAAAAAAAAAAAGAAAGAAAGAAAATGGTTCTAGCCCAGTCTCCCTCCTGACCAGCTATGTGGCCGTTGGCGGGTCACCTCTCCCCATCCCCCACCTTTGTTCCCTCCTCTGTAAAAATAAGAGTATGGACTCATTTCCAAGTTCCCTCCAGGCACTAGCGTTGGGGGAATGTATCTTGTCTTGGCTAGTGGGGTTAGGGAGGGTGGGAAGCAAAGTTTATAAGGAAAATGCTGTCTCGTGAAACTGGGGCTGGGCAACCGACATTAGCAAAACTGTTTCTCTGATTTTGAGCCCATCTTCCTTAGAGTCCCTTTTAGAAATAAAAACCCCAGCCAAAATAGTGGGTGTATATTAGCCCAAATGCTGACATCCCGGAGTACTTTCTCCTGCCTTCCTACACTTCTCTTCTCTTTGTGATCAATGATATGGAATAAAGAGCTCTAACAAAATAGGAAGATTTGGAGTGTTTTGCTTAGGGATGTAACAAGCAGTCTCATTTCCTTTAGAAATGAATCTCGTTTCCATAGGGAAGTCGGGTCGGGTGGGACGCTTCATTGTTTCTCGTGTTCATTGTGGACATGAATGGGTCGAAGTCAAACAAAGTAAACCAAACTAAAGCCACTACCCAGTGCTTGGACCCTGCGCCAGGGCTGGAGGGGGCGGGCTTGTGCTTCTATGCGGGGGGGTTGGGGTGTCTCTGGGGGCTGGCACATAGTTTTGCCCGGTGCCCTGCCGAGTTGGAGTGAGCGAACATTCCTTTCCCTGTGGCAGGCCAGGCCATGCATTACTTTGGAAACTCAGGAAATGGTCGGCAATGTACTTTTCCTCTTAGAGCCACAGTAGGAAAGTAACTTTGAAATATTTTGCCTATCTCTGACCCACTTTTTTCCCTTCGGGAGCAGAAAACATTGACATTTATAAAAAATCTGGGCAAGCTGTAGTTAGGCAGCCTAAGAATGGGGTAGGCATTTCCTATTAGGTAACATTTAAGGGAGCCAGAGACATTTTCTCCTCCTGATTTTCTAGGAAAACATGGCAACCGCACAGATGGAGGAAAAACAGCAGTAAAAGTAAGTTGGTCCTTTGGGATGCTTTTTAATTGGAAGCCTCTAGAGGTCAGCACTGCATAAAAAAGGGCTTTCTAGTTCTGGGTCAACCTGGTGCCCATGTCTTGGGGGGAGTGTTTGGGAGAGGAGGGCCAGCAGGCCCCCAGCAGGGAGAAAGAGGGTGAGCAGCCCCACCGTGCATGGGGGAGGAAGGTGTAGGGTCCTTTCCTTGATACAAAATTCTAACATTTGTCTTGGGTTGGTTTTTTGTTTTGTTTTGTTTTGTTTTGTTTTTTTAATCCCCTTCTCATCCATCTTTCTGCACCGCTCCCACACCCTGGTATGCACACACTGTCAGCTCAATAAACACGACTTATTGACCGATCGGTGAAGCATGGCATTTAGCTCCCTCGGAGAAGGGCTGGGGAGATGCCAGAGAGGAGATGGACGGCACATTGCATTTTGCTTCGAGCAAGGGGAGAGGCCCCTCTGTTCCCAGGCAGCCTGGGCCTTTCTCATTATCAGCCAGCAGGCTCTGCCAAGCCCCACCGCTTCCAATCAAACTTCAGGATGCCATGGGCAGTGCTGGGACCCCAGGTTTCTACTTGGAACCCGCATCGGGTGCCCTGAGGCTCCCAGGTCGGGGCTGGGTAGGGAAGGCTTTGAGTATCTTTAGGAGATCTGGCCAGAACTGAGGTTGTTGGGAGCCCCTGAAAACTGGTGGGACACGCCTGGGGCTGGGGTGCTCCGGAGCGTGAGACACAGTGGCAGTATGTCGCAGTAGCTCAGACTGCACGGACCGCCGCAGGCCAGGGGCCCCCCGAGGTGCCCCCGGGTTTCTCTTTAGCCCAGCAAGGAACAGGAAAGCCTTTCCTCCC